AAATGACGCCATGCAACTGGTTATAGTGGCCATAACTTGAGTTTAATTTACAAGCAACCAACACCGTTTCGAATACTGTCTGGGATAATGATCGTATATATGCCTATGTCACAAAACAATTTTCGAATTCGCAAAAGTAGTATTGACAAAAGGCACATCTACAATATATGTTTCGTAACTACATTATATCCCTATAGAAATGGTTCCACTACTAATGTCTTCCGTCTTGCTCCAGCCACACAGTATTTATATCCCGAGTGCAGCGATAACAAAACCGGAGCGGGCGGGCGGGGCTATTTCAATATACCCCCTCCCCCCGTTAAAGTTAAAGTGGTTTTGAAGAACAAAATAATAATCAAATAAGACACTTGGCTACTTCTCATTTATTTTAAATATTTAAAGTAACTACGTTGTTACTTATTGATAATAGGGTGTGAGCAATTTAGATATATTACTGACAGATGTGTGTGGGCCTTATGTTCCTGTTAACACCTCTGACATCTGTCAAAATAACATAGCTACAACAAGCAGTGTCACAGGTACAGTTCTATGCATATTATAAGAATATGTTCCATTCAGAAGATCCACGAATCAAGACTGTCGCCGTTTCTTATTGTAATATATACTACTACTAGGGGTTGGTAGTGGTACGCGGCGACATCAAAAGAGTCACTGAACTATGGTCCAGTAACTAATTACATAAAGTCTCACAAATCAATAATGTACGCTATAAGGGAATAATATATGTTGTAACTTACAAAATGGCGAGAATTAATAAATAACCACACACGTATTACACATCTCCACTAAAAAAAACTTCACATTATCCATAGATTGTCACTATATCAAACGGTATCAAAAACTGTTACATCCCGTTATTACTATATTACTGAAAATCGCTATATCACGATTCTTACTTATAACTCACAGTGTCGTAGCTAGTCTAGATTAACCAGTTGTAACCCATAACAGATACATACACAAAGCCAGTTGTTGTGGAGAGAACAAATATTATGCCAATAATGCTTTCAAAGCTATGTCCTTTTGAGAAGTAGCATTGTAAGACAAGAAATATAGGCTATGGAATCTATATTATAACATATGTATGTACCTGAAAAAAAAAACCTACAAAAAACAATAAAAAAGTAAAGATATAAATAGTCTTTAATATAAGTTTACATCAATATTTACATTATATCTGGGTCACTGACACTACATCATATCTTGTTTATTCCTGTTCCATGCAGACAAAATGAGGCACATCAAAGATACATTCATAGTTGGAATTCAAAGAGAGTACATGTAGCCTGAAAAATTCACCCATCAGAAAAAACAATAAACTTAAAATGACCAACAAATTATTAAAACCATTTTGTCACCTATATAGGTGACCAACATAGGCCTATTTGTTATATTATTTGCTGATTGTTCATATCAAAATATCCTGGCCATTGTATTATTCTATATCTACAGACAGAAAACAAAATGACAAAGAGAGAGAGAGAGAAATGGGGTTTAACGTCCACTCGACACAAACTAGGTTATTTCGGGACCAACATATGGTTCAATTTTATTTCAATAATTCGCTTGCGCATAGGGGTCTTTAGCAGTGGGAGGAAACCGGAGGACCCGGAGAAACCTAAAAGACAGGTACCAGAGAGACTGCCTGACAAAGCCTTGATTTGTGCATGACAATATCTGTGAGAGGTGCCTTATTTCCAGGCATGTAGATGACATACAAACGTCTATATTTACTTACCAATGTGTGATGATTAAGTGTAATTAAATGCATTACAATACAATATAATTATAAAGGCCAATACATATATATATATTCTATAAGCTTAGATGCCCCAAATAAAACATTCAATAATAATAACAAAATCAAAGACATGTATAATTCATCCAAGAAGTTGTAAAAATACCAAATCTAATGGACAAAGTGGGCAAAATCAAGCCATAAGTGAACACTGTGGCTTATATCACCCATATAAATATAACATGTGAAAAATATACATGGTCTACTGTATGTGTATTATCCAATAACCCACCTGGAAATATACATATAACCCATGATTTATAATACACAAAGCTTAACAATGTGTAAGAAAGGCCAAAAAACTGTGTATCCCAACAAATGTATTTTCTATCAACTCCCAGTAATTCACACATTATAAATCACATATCTATATTGAGTATTACAAAATGTTTTAACAGCATTGAGTAATTGAACTGGAAATACACAGGACACAATTCTATGGAACACATTTACTGTTTATTATTGAGCGATGTTTCTAGTCTTTATCAAGCAAATGATTATAGAAGACAATCCTAGTCAAAATGTCGCTCTCAGTAATATTATAACCAAGCATTTGAACATAATGCTTGGAAGATATAGTTGATTTGAATGTAGTTGCTGGTTGAATAAATTCATATCCAGTCAGTGAGAGAGAAATGGGGTTTAACGTCCACCCAACACAAACCAGGTCATTTTAGGACTAAAAAATGGTTCATTTTTAATTCGCTTGCGCATAGGGGTCTTCAGCAGTGGGAGGAAACCGGAGGACCCGGAGAAAACCCACGAGGTTGGACAGGCGACCCTACTCCTTGTCACATACGAACCAGGGATTTGAAACCACCCAGTTGACTCAATGACAGGCTTTATGATACAGTGCGCACGTGCTAACCATTCGGCCACCCAACCTCCCATATCCAGTCAGATTATACAGTTGTTTTTTTTTTTTTTATGGAAGTAGCCCACACAGTTACAATATAGTGTAGTTGTATTCCATAGAATTGTGTATTGTCTGTATTATCCATTAACTTAAAGTGAATACACACTCTGTTTAATAATGCACAAAGTGCCACAAAGTAATATAACAATTTGTAAGTAAGGCCAAAATAAATCATTGCTTATAAATGTCTGTGTTCCATCAATTTCTTTACAAATTGTAACTATTCTCTTACTCCTATATTCCAAATCACACCTTTTATTTAAAATCCAAAGTTGTATTTTATCCACTGCCTGCTCTTCCAACAAATTAACAGTTCTTTCAAATCATGTATCCACAGACAAAATTATCACAATTTCAATTTAAAGGAGTAAGATCTTTGTTGAAATATTTTAAAGTAAAGCCTTGAAATCAGGGTGATCAGTAGCTCGATATATCGAAATTATCATTTTATTAGAGTAAGCGGTGGTCGCAAAGTTTACATATATTTTAGCTTTGTTTATAATTAATTAAAAATGTTGACAGAATAATTAGTTATAAATTAACATCAGCTAAGTCATTTCACAAAAATAATTTCGGAAACAAACAACTCGCAGAAAAAAGAAAAAAAAAAATCAATACCCCCAAAATATAATTAAATCCACACTTTCTTTATCCACTGAAATTGATGAGGTCCAGTTCTGTCAATACGAACAAATATTATTGCATTATTACAATGTTTTTCTTGTCATGTACATCAAATTTAATGTCATTAAATTGTTATTAACAACAGAAATAAAGATGAATCACCAAATATAAAAAGCAATGGAATATTTAATGAGGATCTCCTTCTGGTGTTTTTGTAACTGACTTATTAGGTTGAACTTTAGTATCCGGAAGTTTTAATTCGAAGCCTGAACCTTTTTGTCCTAAATTTTTTAAATCTGTGACTTCATGTTTTAATCGGAGGCGCAAAATATGTTGCATCATTTCTCTGCGGTGTGACACATCATTAATGCCTATCTTTTCTAGTTTTATTTCATTAATCCTAATCAAAGTTCTTCCAGTGACATCATTCTGTGTTAAAAGTTCACCATAGAGTTCGTAACACACCCCTCCATGTTTTCTTAACCACTTATTTACATCTGCACATGTCCAAAAATATAAGGGTTTCGGTTTTCCTTTTAAATTTTTCTTCCCATTTATGCTGGAAATGCTTTCTTTATTAGATTTAGTTTTAACACCATCTGAATCCTTAGAAGTATCTGGTACCGAAACTTTGTCATGATGTTTCACAGCATCTTTCAGGGGCTCACTCTCTTCCATGTTGATTAGGGCACACCCTTACAATATCTTACACAAATATGTTACATATATTTTATGTGATCTGCAATTAAAGAAATATCGTATAATAGATACCACAGCATTTTAATTAAAGACAGAGGCATTATATATTTCTTCCAAACTAATAGTGCATGTAGAAAATAAAGGAAAACTGTACAACGAAATGTAGACAGTATCAACTGGAAATACTGAATATAATAAACAGACGGAATGGGACAAGCCAATCTAAACCTTCCTTATCCGCAGGCACAGACTTTGACAGAGAAGATGTTACCGTCTTACGCGGATAGTCTATAAAAAAATCATCTGTCCTCTAGCTTAAATAATCTTGATATTTTCAGTATATTCTGTGGAACTGGGGAGGTATTTCGGAACAAAAATACTCATAAGTCATACATTGTTGTGAAACATTCGCTTATTCCGGGGCCCAGATCAACGTCCTGAATTTTCTAAATCGGAGTTCTTCATTAATTTCCGTTTCCGAGAAATCTTTACCGTTTAGTTAGAAAATCGGCATCGTGATCTCTTTTATTTAGTCTAGTCTTGAAGTGAAATTCTGTTCTGTGCAATCTAAATATACGTGTTAACTAAAGGTTTCTTATTTTCGTCATATCATAATCTTGAATGGTATTAAAAATGTTAATACTGAAGGTATAAAGCGGGATGGGTACGGAATGACTTAATTTTATAATTTACTATTCGTACACTATTTCTATTTATTCCCTAGCTCAGAACCGATAATATTACACAAGATTTAAATATAAAAACGCCCCCACTGTGTATCCTTTATGATCAAAAAGTCGAATGTATTTTATTTCTAGATAATAATTGGGTCTAATTTAATTAAATTTAATGACAAGCATGGACATTATAACTCTTAATGCAAGTCTGTCGCACGCATAGTCAAATGAATCCTGGGATATAGTGACATCATTGTACCTCATTTACATATCGCCATTGATCGCCATTTTGTTTGTTCTCGAATCTGGACTGTATACTGTGTAGAATCTGAGTGAAATCCAGGGCCATCCGTCCGTTTTACACACAAATTAATCTGTCAGTTTGTTCTGAAACTTAACCCATAGGAACGGGCCGGCGTAAGTAATCATTTAAATTATATTTCGTTGTGCATTATGCAATTGACCGACTGCGGTACTATAATTTTCCCATACACCAGACAAAGTAGTTTTTCAACTAGTTTTTCAAGTTGGATATCAAGCTAAATTTAGCAAACCATTGCTCACCGTTCGAAATATTAGGAAGCTTAGGTAATAAGGTGATCTCATTTATTCTCTTAATTATTGACTGCTATAGAATTGAAACGAAAAGCCGGTTGCATTTCATTTTGTGTTTCTCGGTAATCGTGCGCATTTCGAGGAACGAATGAAGTCTGCAAATAGCGAATTTATTAGCCTACTTTATCGCAGAAAATACAGTCGACTGACTAATTATAATACGCAAAAAGATGCAATGCCAGAAACGCTTTGATTAGTCTGGAGTATGAATTTGCTGGAATACAAATTTGACAGGTAGGTGGATACTGTACGGACAGACTACTAAAGGAAGCTTATTATTTCACTCGTCTTGACTTGACAGTCCTGGTGCACGAACGCGGCGTAGGTAGTACGGCAAGTCTAATAAGAGGTATTTGTTGACATTCACATTGGTCTTAATATGGGGAAGCTGGTTCGGAAAACGCTGGAATTTACACAGAAGTGGACATGAGTGCTATTATTAGCAATAGATTTTTAAAATGCAAGTTTATCCAGTTGTGCTGGTGATTTGCAGGAATGTTGGGTTAGCTTGTCGGACAATGCTTTGTGCTGGGAAAACGTCCTTGACCTTTATACATGTATTAGTAGAGAATATTTTTTTTTTATCTTTCTTCCTTCCATCCAAAAGGCTTTGAAATTCTTAAGCTATTAGAATAATGTATGTTTTTTATATAAATAATTAATAATTTAATATTTCAGTTTCAATTTTGTTTGAATGAAGCCTCTTGTTTGTCGAATTTTACTTGCTTGATTAGGCCTAGTGAGTTGTTAACAATTAACATGGATTTCACTGCAGAGTGCAGCACCATACTAAAACACTTGCCAACATAGGCAACAAGTAGTTAGGGTGGTCCATGGCATGGTTGAGGCTCACCTTGATTCAGTTATGATCACTTTTTTGATAGCTAAATAACACACCAAATTTTCTGATCCCATTTGGAATTTAGTTCCTGAGATTGTTTTTTTTTTTGTTGTGTCCTCCACTAAATCCCATTGGAACTCTTTGTAGAGCATTTTCAGAAAATATCCCCCCCACCTAGTTCAGCTCTGAACGTAAGTCTTGCTAATGCTACACTCGACCTGTATATTCAGGAACGGGCCTATTGGTATGGTGATTCACAGCCTCAAATAATTGTGCTTTAATTACTAACCTGTTGTTCAGCTTGTTTCTGCTCTAATCACAACAACAGGTTCGCTCCTGCAGTGCAGACAGCAAACATTCGTCCAAAAGAGACATTCACGATCACGTGACAATATTCGTTCACTTTTTTATCAATGAAGCCATGAAATAACGTTCTTCTTTAATCGTTACTGTTTTAAAAATACGTAGTTACAAACTTGATTAAAACTTTGGCCAAGACTCGGTGATTTTATTTCTAATTTAGTTGATTGTAACCAATGTCGTATGTTTTGTAACGGTTCTCATGTAGTTTCATTCTTTTTCTATCTTTTAAACTCCCCGCCCCCTCCTCCGCGGCAACTAAAGTGTAAAATTTACTTTTATACAACCATTCGACCCCGTGGTTAGTTGCCGCCTTTACTTGAGTGAGTTTAGAAGTTACACAAACTATTTGAGAGTAGAAAAATAACCAAAACAAAAAGTTGAAAAAGTTTATTTGTAGTCTTTATTTTCCAGACCAATACTGCACAATATATTGTATCTGGGACCGAAAATTAATTGTTAGATTATTCGATTTATAATTTATAGAGACCTTTATCCCCCTCCCTCTCTGTGTTATGCCATTAGAATTTCCTCGTACTTTATCCGGCAATGTGTTGTGGTTTTTTTTAACGTATGTAATACTGCACAATATATTATTTATCTGTGGGATTAAAATTAAAGTTTCAAACTATTAGATTTATAGACCAAGATCCAAACCTTGTTTTGTCACTAAGATTTATTAACTGCCTTAATATGGACCGAATCATATTTTGAACCAAATAATGCCAAAATTATATCCTCAAAAATCAAGCGTGGCCTTGACATCGATAGTTGATAAAGTTTTTATGGCACTTCTCATCATATAATATTATAAAAATAATAATGCTAAAATAAGACCTAATAATGTCTGTGGATATTTTTCTGACCATGCTGTGCTGTTAATATTAAGAATACATCCCCTCCTGCTAGATGGCTTAGCAGTCGCCATAAATAGGGCAACATACAAATTTAAAAATGTCAGAGATAGGAAGACAAAATAAAATTTAGGTCGCTAAGGGAAATAAAATTGGAAAAATTAGAATTTATCTGGGGTAGGTGAAGCAATAAATGAAGATTCTAAATTTTTTTTTAAAGATTCCAAGCTGACCCACAAATCCCCCCACCTATTCTGAACCATGTTTTCTATGAAATTAACTACATGTAGGACACAAAAAGACAGTACTAGTAGTTAAGGATGTAATGGTTCAAAATTTTTGAACAGGTTAATTGACACTTCATTTCTTGATCTTGCCTGGTAGTTTGACATGTCACATAGACCTGTTTAAATTAGGTTGAATTTAAAAAGCCCCACCCCCACTTCGTAATACTTTAAGATTAGTTATGACATACATGTAAATATTTAAAAGCATACCTTTAGATTGGCACAATTTTAACATCCTGTCAATTTTGATATTTAAATTACCACATGATCATGTGCCACACAGGTCCTTCGGGCCTGTGCTTGGAAAATGTTTGTTTCGCCTTTCGGACACTGACATATGAAAACAAATATCAATAAATTTTTTAACCGGTTCACCAGTACAACTTAACCGTGACCGGTTAATCGAGTTAGGCAGTATGGAACATGCAGCTGCCATTTGAGCTAGCAGTATCCTGGCAATAGAATAAATATATGATTGTGGAAAAACTCTGACTTTCTTGGATAAAGGGACTTACAACATGTATCATTGCTGATAGATATGAGAAAATTGTGTGTATCAGGATTCTATAAGTTTTTATTGGTTTATTTGTTAGATAAAAGCTGTTCCCGTCCACAAGGGTGTATGAATACAAGGCCTTCAATGTTCGTTCTTCGACAAGATGTCCTCAGTCGCGGGGCACGGCAGTAAAGGGGAGAAAGGCAAGGGAAAATACACAGCAATTAACATCAATAATCTTTATAAAGGCAAAACTACAGAAACTCAGAAGACAACAAGTAAGTTCAATTTACTTTCATAAACTAATACATAACCTGGAACAGATCTACTTAGTTTAATAGCTTTATTTTATTCTGTAGATGGTTTGTGGTTTAAAGTGCTTGTGACAGTAGATCATAAAAGATTTCAAAAAGAAAACTGTTTCATAAGGGAAATATAAATGTTTAGTCAATAAATGAACAGTTATGAATCATCTGTGATAACACTACAGCTGCTCAAAAATTTGTATTGAAGTACTGTTAGTTATAAGGTGATTTAGTGAACCAAACAATTTTCTGTAAGATTATTTTCTCTTTATTTTCAGTCACAAGACAATATGGCTTGCAAAGCTTGGGTAAAGTGGGAAGTGTTCGGCGAATGCCGCCACCAGCCAATTTACCAAGTTTAAAAAGTGAAAGCAGTGGAAACGATCCAAATATAAACCTAGTTCCAACAGGAGGTTCAGGTGAGTGGGAAATTCAGACATACATGTATTGTAGGAAGATTTTGCTGCTATTTTTAATAAACCTTAATGTAGTTTGAATGACCTAAAAAATTTGGTGATGAATTTATCTGGAAATATTAAATTCACAGATTTCACAAAACGCTGTATGTCGATGTATAATGTACATATTTCTATTCACATTGTTAAAGGACAAAATGCAATAAACATAGGAACTTAAATTTGCATAAAATAAGAAACTTTAATGATCAGTTAAGTAGTTATTGTTTTATAAGGTGAGCGATCGCTCTCAAGTGTCTGTCACACCTGAATGTCGACCGAGGGGAGGTTTTTCTCCCTACTCTTAAAAATGAAAATCGCTTTCCTTGACAAAGACATGGATGTTTATTATCGTTTATGAAACAAGGAATGCCCCCCTTACATGTAGTTATTGATCTTCCGAACCATATCCCATAAACATATCTAATCACTCTCCTTAATTCCTAAATCACTCTTCTTATCAAAACTACTAACTAGGGGAGCGGTTTTTTTTTCAATTTGGTAAGGGGAGCCTTTTTTTTCGGTTTTCCTATAACAAAAAACAACTGGTTAAGACACATTTATCTTTATTTCGCATGTTTTGTAACATGCAGTGTACATAATTACAGTCTGCACCATTAACTTTCAAAGTACAATGACAACGTTTACTTGCCCCAAAATTTTTTTACTGTACCGTCAGCAGTCAGATGGAAATGGTCAATTGAAATAAAAAAGAACAAAACACATTTTTTATTAGATCATATATTTTGTTATTCATTAAGATAAAATGTTCAGCCTTTACAATCCTAAAGTTTCCAGTGATCGCATCCACAAATCGGTTATTTTTATTAGTTTTGATGCAGTAGGAACAGGACATAGAAACAGAATCATTCTGAGACATTCTCCCTCTGGTTCACATTTAACCAGGGCCTCCCAATTAGCCAATGTTGTTTAAATTCACGTTTACGTGACACGGTTTCATACCTGCGCTTTGATTCTGCTACTACTTGAGCAACATCATCACCGGATCCGCGTTTCTTATTATTCAATGTCTTGCCGGGCTGTGCCCCTTCCACCCATCTTAACATCTCCCGACGACAAAGAGTGAAAGACAAACAACAGAAAAACGAAAGTCAAGGAAAACCGTCAACAAAGGTCACATTTCCAAGGTCATAAATGTCAAAGCGGAAGTAGACAAGTATTAAATGGAATTGTCTCCCTTGGAGTAGAAACTGCGCTCCACCGCGTTTCCTCGATCTTTTACCGAACCCCAAACTTTAACAGTGTGAGCAACGGGGAAATGGATATTTTTATTTTTTTTTAGCGAAATTTTCGCGTGTCATCTTCGGCAATTGTATCTCATTCTATTAAAAAACAGTACTGTACCGACGGGCAAGTCCCAATGAAAGTTTTACTTGTCCGCCGTAAATTTTACTTGTCCCGGGCAATCGGACAAGCGCTAATGTGGCAGACTGTAATTAAAACACATTTTGCATGTCTGCATCAGTCAGATTCTATTCCTACATCAATAACCAAAATAAGTAAATTTAATACTTTTTGACCTGAATCAAGGAGAGTTAGCTTTCTTGTAATTTTGACATGAAGTTGAATTATTCTTTGAATAAGGTACTGGCGTTTTATCTGAAAGTCAAAATGTGGGGTTTATTTGGTGAAATCGTCGGCATGTGTAAGATGTTAATTTTTTTTTTTTTTCAAAGGATGGGGTGCGAAAGAGAAGGAGAAGGAAAGCGGTGGTGCTCAAAGTTCACCATCTCAAGCTACAGTACCTACTACACAATCGGCACAATCTACAGTAAAGGTAATTATTTTTATATGATATTTTTGTGTACATTATCTGCTATTGACAGAGCTTTCATGTTTCTAATTTAGTACAACAGTACTATTTACTAAATTTTGCATTTATAGTGATTAGCAAACTCTAACACCAATGTTTTGACTATACCTTGATGTGATTTAATTCTTGACTCTTTATGCAAATGTATTGGCATGTTAAATATTTACTATTTGATTTTGTTACAGACAAGTACACCTGGGGGCACAAATGCGGGTGTCAAGTCATGGAGCAGTGTTACAGTCGGGGGCAATGTTCAAGGTAAACTATTACTAAATAGCGTGGTTATCACTTTTTATATGCCCACATTTTCATGTGAACGTATATTGTCGTCGCCCCTTTCTGTCCGTTCTGTGGACACCTACAGGTCACGATTTTTATCTAATTTTGACGAAACTTGAAATATAGGTCTATCTCCCAAAGATCTTGGTTCCTTTTAAAATTGGCGTCTATCGGACCATAACTTCATGGATTATGGCCCCTGATTGTATGAAATATCACATTTTTAGCTTGTGAACATTGGACACTCTAGAGGTCAAAATTTTTATCTGATTTTGATGAAACTTGAAATGCATGTTTATAATCCAAGGATCTTGGTTTCCTTCAATATTCGTGCATATCGGATCGTAACTTCCTGAATTATGGCTCCTGATTATTCGAAAAATCGTGTTTTTAGCTTGTTGTCCCCCTAGAGGTCACAATTTTTAACCGATTTAAAAAAACGTTGAAATATCAATACACCATAATGAAGGTTGAATTCGAATTTCGAGAAAATAAAAACGAAGCTGCCCGACAAAATGGACGCTCTTTGTACACAAATTTCGAAAAGTATTTAATGCAAAGGTTTTGGACCTTCTAGGTACCATTTTTATCCGATTTTGATGAAACATAAAATATATCTCGGTCCCTTTCGATATTTACGCATTTCAGACCATAACTTTATGTATTGTGGCCCCTGATTGTACGAAAAATTGCTTTTGCTTCTCTAACCATCTCTTGCAAAATGTGGGCATATCTTACCTGGCAAGCGCTGGTTAATTTTTATTACAGTTATGATTTATATTTAAACTAAATCTCGGCAACCATGTTTTAAATTCACATAAGTATTAGAGGTGTATATAGCATTGTTTTAAGATAATAGTGCTAGTATAATATATGTAAATATATTCCTTCGAATTATATAGGAGCAGTTGTAAGTCATCAATCACCAATGTTCAAAGAAGAATTTCCCACATTAGCAGGGGACGAGAAAGATGGCAAAATACAGAAAGAAGGTGGAACAGGAGAAGAAAAGGATGTTCAGTATGGACCCGGGCCAAGTTTGCGACCACAGAGTAAGTTACTCATTTATTTCCCTGCAAACAAGAAATTTCTACATTAATTCTATTCTTTCGTAAGTCTTGTAACTTATGTTCTAGATCTCACAAGTAGCCGTAATGCAAAATTTCAGTGGTTGAAATTAATGTTTTTGAAGGCTAGTTCCACAAACAAATAATTATAAGAGATAAGAGTGACATATTAAGAACAGGTTATCCCAAGTGTCAGTGACTAGTTTCGTTCATATTGAACTCTTCAAAATTATTGGACACCCAGGTATAGGTGACTAATTTCGTTCGTATTGAATTCATCAGACTGATCGGACTCAAAACGCCAGATTCTAAGTCAGATTGATAAAACTTGGGTGTTTTATTTCATTATATCATTACCTTGATTAAATTCAATTTCTACTTTGGTTGGGCAGCGATATTAAATTTGGTTGATGCTTTATAAAAAGATAAATGTTAGTAATTAATGAGTATCATCTATTTTGATTGAGGTATTGGACATAATCCTCTGTGTAAACGATGTTTATAATTGTTAGACCCTTAACAAAAGGTATTAGTCTCAGACTGACAGACTATAATGTTCTGTTATTCTCTGGGTGGAATGTAACTAACCAGATAAGGATAGTTTCATATTAAATTTATTTTCCAGATGTCGGAAGTTGGCGAGAAGGCGGAGGGCGGGGTACCTCTCAGCAGCCACAAAAAGGAGAATTGACTACATCACCCTCTCAGCCTACAGCAAACCAGACAGAAACACAAGCGAATGGCCCCCAGACCCCGATATCCGTTAGTAATCAGTCACCTGTACCGCCCATGCCAGGACGTCCTGGCTCTACCCAGGGTCCACCTCAGGGCCCCCTACCAATGGGACCTATGGGAATGCCACCACCACAATATAGAGGAATGATGCCACCATATGTAAGTTCTAAAATGGTCTTTTCTTGAAATTTTATCAATTTTGATCTGTGATAGTGCTTTGATGTATGAAGTTAAGATGGGGTCATGGGTATTAGTGAAACCTATAATTTATTTTGTCATTTTAGATGTTTGGTAGAAATTTTCCTGGTCCAGGTTTTCCACCAAATTATCCTGGTATGCCTAGACCATTTCCATACGATGGACGGTAAGTCTATTTACTTGATTCTTTATCAAACCTGAAGAGTTATGGCTCTTGATCCTTTGAAAAATCTTATTGACACTCTAAAAGGTTAATGTTATCATCTGATTGACTTCAAATTTATCCAGTTTTTATTATGATCTTGAGATAATCAAGCTAATATACACTGTTGTGGGCATACACTTCATGTGATGACTTCAAATTTATACAGTTTTTATTAAGATCTTGGGATAATGAAGCTGATATACACTGTTGTGGGCACACACTTATGTGCTTGGCAATAATCCACCTGTTAATTCGGATTATGGAATTGCATGCACCTTCGAGTCGCAAACCTAAAGCAGATTCGGCCCATTGTGAGATTTTTTAATCCTGCCGATGTTGAAGAAATAAAACTGTTTTATATTACAATATTCATATGGATCAAAATAAGGAACAAAAATATTTAAACGTGTTTGTGTACCTACGTGTATCGTAATGTGTTACATGGAAATTTATGAGTGACAGGTTAGTTACTGAAGCGAAAAGTATGAAAACAAGCTATTGCGATAGGTAGCTTTTTTTGGAGGCATTTCCAAGCCTGGTCTTCTATTCCTATTTCTCAAGCAGAATTGAGACCGGCCATTTCAAGGGACCCATCATGTACTCGACCAGCCATTGTTGCAGTATTTACGATACAGCACGCACAGAAATTCACTTTGAAAAAACACGTCTAATTGGAAAATCATTAGAGAATCCATAAAAGTTTTGTTAATGTTCGCTTAGTCCATTATGTTGACCACTGCGTAGTCGCAGATGCGGTGGTGCGCATGCGTTGTAATAAACAACGTAGACCAATATATTTAGCAAGTCTTCATGGTTATAGTCATAGATCTGTGTTTGAACCAGCTCATTAAAGATACGTACCCAGAAAAGTATTTATTGGGTGGTTATTTCCAATAAAAGTATGGCATTTTTGGCATATATGGAAAGTAGAAATATCCAATTTTACTAGAAAAATACTGGATTCCCTGAAAAACACCCATGGAGCGTATACAGGACATAAATGTAAGGGTTCCTCAAATCGACAGCCCGACGATTAGGAATATCTGCACGTGTGACATCAAAGGTTGCACGCAGAGATTGAGCGCTTGATGTTGATAAACTTTATGAAGAGTTAGACGTACAACACTTCCTGAGATAAAAATCACGGAAAAAGACGCGGGCAGTGTATAATTATAATCCGATATTTGTAATAAATAGTCAGTGATTAAAGACAACATCGTCTTGTGTATGCAATGAATTCTCCGACTTCGCATCCGTTGCTAGGTACTGAGACGTAAAGTCACATGACACAAACATAACCTCTTTCGATCGATTTTGTATAGCAGGGGTATTCCTTGGCAAGGATTTGAAGCACAATTATGATAAATTAATTAGTTTGAATATGTTTTTAGTCCAAATATATTGTCAAATCACCCAGTTTGTACGCAGGAATGTATCTTTGGTAAATTCGGTACTGTATTTCTGCTAAAAACTTTTAATAATATTGACCAGAAAGTGTTAAATGAACTTTTTATGTTTGTTTTTTTTTTACATTTAAAAACTGTAATTGACATTTTATAAAATATGGTGATTATATCGTGATATTTTCAAAAAATATTGCAATATCTGATTTCTGGAATATTGCCCAGCTCTTATTATCTAGTAGTTTTTGCAACAAAAGTTTTGTGAAAATTTGACCCAATTCGGTCTTCTCAACTTGGTGGCCTATATCTCTGATCGGGGCCTGCCACAAGCGACTGATTTTGTTGGAGCGTCTCACATATTTCCAGAAATAAATTATATATATAATCAATCTACTTATACTATACTTATAGCTTTCAAAGGGGTCCACCACCTGTTCAAAATCGACCTAATAGTAATAATGCAGGGGATGAAGATGGACAACAGGCCATGTCATTTCATAGAGCAGCTATCATTACAGATAAAGATTTGAAAAACTTTGATCAGATATTAAAAGCTGAACCCAGTGATGGAGGTTGGGCAGGTGCACAGGGGGAGATTGATTATAGGTAAGTCTTTTCTAGAACAAAAAATATATGGATAAAATACATAAAAAGTTATGTTGACAAAAGAATTGTGACTTGCAAAGAAATTAATTAGTATTTTGTTTTAAAACATTGAATTTAAGAATATACTGTACTGACACAATTTATAATATTTTCAAATTTTCAGTGCTAAGTTGGTATTTAGTGATGAAGAAGATGAAGGATCAGAGAAAAAGTAAGTTTTCTACATATATAACTATTATTATTGTATTGTATAACACCAAAGTGTTAGGATGTCACTGTTGATTATAAAAGGTGCTTAAATATAAACTTTAAAAAAAGGTAAAAATGTTAGGTGTTGGTCCTTAATGTATCTGTTGGTAAAAACTAAAAAATTAAGTCGTGAATACATTATCAGTTAATGTTTTATAAGAATGGTGCATTGAAAGGTTAGATCCATGGTGGCTAAGTGGATAAAACGCTGACTCGCTAGCTTGGAGCATGGGGGTTCTTTCCCAGTGTTGGCAGAGAAAGTTCTTTGGGATTTTTCGACATGATTTCACCTAGTCAGGGGTGCAGGACAGTGGACTTGATAAGGACAGCTGTTTGGTACGAAAAACCGAGGTCCTGTGTACACATTGGCAGTTGGAATTTGATATAAGAATAGGTCTTTGCTTTGCTGTCGGGCAAAATGTTCACAATTTAACAAAGATGCATTTGTAAAGGTTGAACACTTTAAAAATGTTCTCCCGTTGGAAGTTATTTCTTCTCCCGGTGAAGTTATTTATATTTTTATTAAGACAATATTTGTTTATTTTATAGTCGTGAAAGAAGGAAGCGACAACAACATCATCGACAATATGATAAACGAACAGATCGTGATGAACATGATGGAGATTATTCTGATCAACACGGTGAACGTGATAGAGGTGAACCTAGAGACCGAGTAGATAGAAGACAAAGCCCTCATGATAAAGATATTGATCAAGACAAGGTAGGCAAAATTGTTTCTTGTTTATTTTGATTTAATATTGTGATAACAAATTTTCAACTGTCTTAAACTAGACAAGACTGACCTTAAAATTATCTTTGTTTCACCGAATCCGACCCATAATCAAGGAGAAGGGTTGGTAGGTCATGGGTTTTTTGTTTTTTTTTAAGTTTAGGTTTTTTCAAAGTCAAATTCGAAGAGCTAATTCGACATCTTGGTTCATTTTCTGTTGGAAACATACGTTTTCTTTACTTGTGGGCGCACAAATCGATACTGATGACCATCAGGATTTTTAGTGAAGCACTACTTGCACACGATTTGCAGTGAAATTGAAGTCTTCAATGATCGTGTGGGTTGTGGCTTCATTTTACTTGAAAACGGATATTAAAAATATTATTAAAACAATGCTCCACAGGCTTTGAAGCAGATTCATTTCATGGGAATGGTCATGCTTTACCTGTCTCAGACTGTAGCTATAGTAAAGGGAAATAACTATAGTGATATATTTCAAGTTAACAAAAAAATAAAACAAGATCCATGGCAAAGTGCAATAAAATAATTTAAGTCAGGGGTGGTTTAAACTGGTCTGTCGTGTTAGGTGAAACAAGATATTTTTAAGGCCAGCCCTAGCGAATGATTTTAAGGGTATTCACATGTTTTTCTATAATTATACTATTGGCAGACCGAGAATTGTTATATACTTCGTTGAATCCGGGGGGATTATATATTTGTGGAGTTTTCTCGTGTGCATTCTAATATGTAATATTTGCTGTAGGATAATCAAGGTAGAGATAATGTTCCAAGAGAGAATTGGCAGGGTCAAGTACCTCCACAGTTCCGTGGTGGTCAACAAAGACATCCACATCCTGGAATGGATGCTGTGAGTAATACATCATATAATAATAATAATCGTTCAGAGAGCTTGATAGAATTATAAAATTTGGAAAACTTTGGTTATGTGAATTAATAGTAGTCACTGTTTATTTGATCCGTAGTAAAGAGAGATAAACATAGCTATTTATTTTGTAACTGTTTATATTGTTTTTTGTCTATTTAAAATCTTGTAACATCTTTTATTTTCATAGAGAGGCTGGCCAATGCATCCATATGATTATCCCATGAGACCTCCATTTCCATTCAGAATGGCACATCCAGGCCAGCAGCGCACACCTTTTGGGCATCCTGCAGCTGGTCCTGCACCACCACCACCACCACCACCTCAACAAGCTTCTTCCCCAAGTAAGAAATCTTGTGAAGATGATGACGAGCTCTGGCAACAAAGACGTAAACAGTCAAGTGATGAAGTATCGGCTATTGTACAGAGAGCTAGACAAAGACGAGAGGAAAGTGAGAAAAAATCTGAAGCCGAGCGTAAAGCTGCTGCAGCAGAGAAACTTAAACAGTTAGATGAAAGAAGTAAAAAAAGGGAGGAAGTGGTAAGCACTTTACTGTGGCTGTATATACGTGTAATTTATTGTAAAATAAGATATCAATTTTTTAACTGGTTCAGGGCTGTTCCATTGGTTGTTTGGAATTCCAGTTTACAAAATGTTCTATTGGTTTTGAAATAACTATGCATGTTTTGCATGGAAAGTTTCAAAAAAACATGTTAACAAATATTCATGTTTTTCATCGGGGCTCTATAGAATGTGGTGTACTTATCAACTCCCTCAATAATTTGAATGGAAAATATAATTATATTATGGAAAACATTCCCTATATAACAGTGATGTAATTAGCTAAAAGTATCACAGGTAAAATTTGTATATAAGAATGAGAATGCTTATGCTATTTTGTTCTAGAAGTCAGAAGATGAAGACAAGAAGTCTGAAGGACGCACTAGTCGTACTAGTGAAAGTAGCGAGAAAGATCCCAGGGAACGTATTCCCAGTAGAGATGGAACTAAACATCCACCGGTATGTGCTGTAAATGTATTTTATTGTTTTGTATATGACACATCTAGGTTAAAAACACATTTTTAAGCCAGGCGAGATTATTAAGTCTGTGAATTCTTGATTCACTCATATTCTACCGACAACCTAAAATTAAATCGCTAATATCTCAGTTCAGAGTGAAGCAATTTGACTGTAATTTTCAGCATATTTTGTTTTCATTATCTATTTTTTAACTATTATAATGAGAACTCTCAGCTCTTTATATGATCTTACTTAATGCCTCTTTAAATCAATATTGTTTTAAATGGCAAAGCAAATGTCTCACTAGTACGTAAGTTTACTTACAGACAACAGAACATGATTTGATGTGTGCTAGTAGCTTGATATAATAATTGAAAATTTTATGATATATATAGAAATCCCATAAATGATAATGTGATTATATTTCTAGAGTAACCAGGGTTATAATAAATCTAGGAATACAGTACCCCCACGCTTCCAGAAGCAACAACAGGAACAGATGAGACAGTCTGTTACAACATCACAAAGTCCAGGTACTGCTGGTACACACACAGGAATGCCACCACAAGGCTTTCGTCAAGGGCCTCCACCCCATTGGCCATATGATATGAGAGCTTGGGCTAGCATGACACCATTCATGGATCCTAGATATGGTGGCAGACCACCTGTTGATATGCAAGGTAAATAGTTTAGTAATGCAAGTTACTATAGCATGAAATATTTGATCTTCACACAATACAGAAGAGTAAGATTTAATTGTAAATAAATAGGAGGGTTTTTCAAATTTATTGTAGGTAAAATGATCTTGCATTATAAATTTTTGACCATTTTGATTTTGTCTTCAGATAAGCCGCTACTCACCGCGTTTTGGCTTAAAAAAACAAACCCAAATATGGACTTGTCTGTGTTATCATACTTTTTTGTAAACAACGTAAAATGTTGAAATTTGTTATAGTTGTAGTTGAATGCCTTGACCGAGTTGGAATATTCTCTGCTTAGTAAGAATGTGATGTAAGGGTTCAAAAAATTATTGAACCGGTTAACTGGTCGCTGAAAATCCAACTGCAACCAGTTAACCGATTTATTCACATTTGGTAAAAATTTTCTATTAAAATATTTTTTGCACCACAGGAAGTCTTAGTGATATATGATTAAAGGAAAATATTGGTGTCAGTCATTATCACATATGTGATAGAACTGGTTAAACACGTTCCAAATATAATTTTAACACGGAGATCATTCCGACGATAGATGCGTTATGAAGCTAATCACTGATTAAAAGCCATATTAAAATAGTGTGTTCTGAGATTCTTCTTAAAACTTGAGGCAGAATAAATTTGTTTAATGGAAAGGGGCAATTGATCCCATTCTTGGGGGGAGGCGAAACAGAAGGCTCTTTCTCCAAATTTTGTATTTGTTTTGTGTGCTTTGAGTTGTAGTTGATTTGGTGACCTGAGGGAACGCTGGGGAATATATAGATGAATATATGGTTCTTTGTATATTATAATTTCAGGAATGCCAATGTTCCCGCCACAAGTTCGTAGGAGAACTGATAGTCATGGATCTGGTGCTGATAGCCAGGATGATAATAGACCGTCGGACTCTACTTTTGAACAACAACAGCGTGATCACAGAAACTGGTTAGAAAGTAGAGGTTATCCTCCACCTCCATCTCATCCAGGTAAATAATTAATGTTCATAATAATAACATTCGGTATGAGATTAGGAAATCTGTTTTTTGCTAAACAGAAATTTTAATGGCCTAAAGAAGAATGCAATAATAATGAGTTTTTATACGCCCACATTGAAATGTGGTTGTATATTGTCGTCGCCCCTGAGACTAAGAATCCTATTGATTTTTATCGATTTCCGATAATTAATGCCAGAGATATGGCCTTTGATCACTCTAAAAATCTTGTGGATGCTCTGGAGGCTAAAGTTAATATTAAATGTTTTGTGTGCTAAATGTAGGGTGACCCACCATAAATAAATATTTCCAAATATCTCGACAATTACGCCACAATATTTATATATATGCCAAGCCTCAAATCAGTTTCACACAATTATAGTCACTAAATAAACGATCATGTTGTACTTAATAAGCTATGACCATTAATCATCTATAAACAATAGACTGAAAACTGGTTCCAAGTTGCGTCCATAACATCCAGACACTTTTGAGTAAAAGATGGGTTACGTGCCCTTGTTTTGAAATTAGTCTCGCTTAACCAGTCTATCGACCATTCTACGTCTGATTGACAGGTCGGGATAATCAAGACTACCTTTTTTACGAAACATAACAGAAAGCTAGAACAAGAAATTGAATTTAGATATAAGCACTTTAGACAACTCAACAATTGTTTTAAGAAACTTGTAAAAGTAAAATGAAACTACTGCTAGTATCATGTTCCTGCTAAAGAAAGTGATGCAGAGATAGTATTTGTACTAAACCAAAAGATGCCGCTCTTAACGGTACAGTTAATGATAAAGCAATTTAAAAAATAAAACAAACGTAATTACTAAAGCTGCTGTAATAACCAAGAAGCTAAATTTTACTGCTATTCAAAATCGTCAACAATAGATTTTTTACGGCTGTAATAGTTGATATATTTGTAGAGAATTGCATGTGCCATGGCTATTTATCGACTCAAAGCGAGTGCGGGGTAGTCAGAAATCAGTTCGAGACACGCAACTGAAGCGTGCACATTTAGCCGTGTCGAGACCAACTTTCTGTAAAGTGCACGGGTCACCCTACTAAATGTTAGAGTATAGCAGAACTAGAATTCAAATAGGTTGTTACTCTTAATCAGATTTTAGTGTTGTAAATGTTTTCATTTCTGGTAGAAAGAAAAAATATTCGATAACCCTTGTTGACACCCTGTACAACTTAGCTACTGCGGGTGTATGTTTAGTTACCAGGCAACATATCTTTCACTTTTCGGTATATTATGTCATTGAAATTTTGACAGGAAATCTTTTGCATATCTTTTTTTTTTTCTTTTTTTTTTACTCAGCTTGAATATAGAGCAATAGCGCTTAGATTTTGGATGGAGTTCTATGCAGTTAAACTATACTAGTATTCAGATTTGCTTGTTTGAAAATTTTGAGACATCTGCCAATCCATGACTTGATTTGGATATTTTGATTACATCATAACCTATAGTGGTCATTTAAGTACAGATATTTGTTCTTGTTGAAAGGGATGTCTTTTTAATACACACTAATAATGTTTATTTTCTTCAGGTGCCTATGATGAAATGAGAAGAGCTCAGAATTTCTATATGTTTCAGCAAGAATATGAGAGATATGAAATGGAAAGAAAGTAAGTTTTAAATCGTTAACTTTATAGAGCTGTTCATGGATAACCTGTTTTAGGCTCTAGATGACTGTTTTGTTGAGGTTGAAAAATCCGTAGATGGCCATTGTAGATGTTTTTATGTTGATTTACAAGTTCCAAAAATAATTTATTTGCAATCTTCAAAATAGTTTTGTGAAATATTATAGATAATAAAAAGTTTTTGTTTGAATTAGTTCCAGGGATTATGATCGCCAAAATGCTGGAGAAGATGACCATGAATCTGGTGCCAGTGATCACGAGAGTATTAATAAAGATGAGGAGGATCATAAGAGTGAAGGACCAAGAGAGGTGTTAGATGATGTAAATAATGATAGAACAGATAAAGATGATAAGTTAGTTTGAATATAATACATATATTTTATCATAGTTTTCCTGTAATTTTAGACATCTGGGATTCATATGTATAGTTACCCATACTAACCTTGTATATTGTATAGCCAGGGAATTTCATGGTCACATGTTTTATGTATTGAAAATACCCCAAATGGGCTATTGATCAGTGTACTCATAGGCGTACAAGCTGGCTGCCCCCCCCCCCCCCCCCCATTTTGGGCACCAAATGCTGGGAAAATTTGGGCACACAATTGTACTTTGTAAAAGTTGTATAAAAAAAATATTGTGTTCTTGAGTGTGTCCAATTTAACAACGAATTTATTATCATTATGTAACATACTAACCACCACCGCCCCCGCCCCCCCAGTCAAAAATTTCCCTGTATGCCTATGAGTGTACTATAGCCTTAAGTATTGTTAGTGAACATATCAATTTGTGTGTGGGGGGATTCTTGTCAATGACCCAAATGTATACATGAGTTAGTACAAAAATTGGTAGAAATAATATTTTAACTATGGTATTTAATATTTCGACAACTATTAACACTGGGGAAAATAATCATGCCTTGATCATCATCGTGTATTTATATGATACATGGCATTTGGAGTGGACTTAATTTAGCTAATTTTGAATTTCTTGTTAAAATTAAGATACATACAATTACTTACATTTATTTATTTTCCTTCTGTTTCCGATCATCAATTTGACAAAGTATGACTTCAGCTAAAGTTAGACCTCTTAATAAAATATAATATTATACTATAAACAATCCCCTTCATTGATATTATTTCAGGATAAAAGAGAGTCCTAAAGATAAAAGTAAAGAGAAAGATTATGAGAAGAAAAGAGATGATAGTGATGATAAAGAGGATGATAGATGGGGATCTTATCGTTCTACACGTCATGTATCTTCACCAGGATCATTACGATCCTATAACAGTGATGAACGACCAAGTAAGAATGATTTCAGTAAGTATATCTAGATTAATGGTTCAGTGGTTAAATTTTTTAGGTCTGTTAAAAATTTCGAAGAGTAGTCTTGATCCGGCACTTTGACATGCCAAAGTGTAGTGTCCTTGACAAGGATCTCCAGTTTACTCCCACTGCCCCAAAAAATGCAAGCAAGTTAATTAAATATGTACCCTGTTTGTCCATGAATATATGAAAATTTATATAATGGAAAAAAAAAAGAATTTTTTTTATAAAAGTAATTGAAATCCCAAGTTTTTTTAAATGGTTAAATGTATTCGGGGTTTAAGTGGGTAAGACACTAGCCGAGAAAGTTCATCCAGATTTTCCTGCGTGGTTCCCCCTTGTCAGGGATGCAGGACGGAGGGCCTGACAAGGACAGCTGTCTAATCCTTTGGATGTGACGAAAAACCGAGGTCCCGTGTATACATTGGAATGCACGTAAAAGATCCCTTGTCAGTTGGAATTTGATATAAGAGTAGGCGAAAGTGCCGCTGCCCGGGCAAAATTTCCCTCATAGCACACTGTATGGCGTATTCCCGTCTTCATTAGCCCAGCATAGGAGCAGAACAGTAGGACGTTAAACCCCATTTCATTTCATTTCATAACTGTGAAAATTTTTGTTTTATATACGCTTATTTTTTTAGGACGAGATAACTACCCATACTGCCCTCCTCCTATGCCCCAACCCCAACAGCCACCACCCAGCAGAAGCAACAACTATACTTCATTAAAGCGAAGTGCATCTAATATGTCAAGTAGCTCAAATACCTCTCAGGACCGTAAGAGTGATTCTCCAAAAGAGATTCCTACAACTGAAAAATTCAATTTACACAAGGAACCTAGCAAGGTAATGAATTAATTTCTACTTTTATTTTATAGATGCTGACGATATGTTTGCACTTTGGCTGTCTGAAATTAGCAATTTCAAAATAGATGGTCTGAAAAATTTGAACGGGATGGCCAAATGATTTAATTTTCAATGTATGATTTGTATACGCCCACATTTTCATGTGGACGTATCATGCTGTCGCCCCTGTGTCCGTTTAGTTAGGACGTCCGTCTACATTTGTTTGTGGACACTACAGGTCACAATTTTTATCCAATTTTGACGAAATTTGAAATATAGGTCTCCAAATATCCTGGTTCATTTGGATATTGGCATGTATTGGACCATAACTTAATGGATTATGGTCCTAAGATCTAGGTTCCTTTAGATATTTACTCTTATCGGACCGTAACTTCCTGGATTATGGCCCCTGATTGTACAAAAAAATTCTCTTTTGTTAGCTTGTTCTGCCCATCTCTTGGAAAATGTTGGACCATTAAAATAAGCCTGTCCGTCCATCTGTCTATCCATCACACTTTTTTGGGACACAATAACCCTCCTTATCTAATTGAGGTAGAATATTCAAACTCCATCTTGGCATTCATCTAATGAATGCCAAGATGGAGTTTGAAGATGAGCAATGTCTGCTTACGGTAAGCAGAGATAGATAAGCAATTCGATTGGTTGATGCTTTGGGACACGATAACTTTTGTTATAATTGAGTGATCAAACTTGGTGTATAGTTTCATCACATCAGTACCTTGACTAAGTTTGATAATGGGCATTTTCGACTTTAGGTAAGCAGAGCGATAAGCAATTTCATAGGTCGAGTCTTTGGAGCTTGATGACTTTGATTCTAATTGAGTGGTAGTTGTTGGCTTGTTAAATTTGCCAACACATTGAATACTCGTTAAAAGTAGATCAGTTTAAGCTGGTTTTGTTTTGAATAATTACATGTAGGTCTATGTGGATCACATTGAACTTTGAAGATGGATGTAATGAGATGTGCAGTTCTGCTGTTCAATGAAAATGCTGAAAAGCATTTAGCATTTGTTCAATGTTACATTTATAAAAACATTTCTTTTCTGTTACAGGAACCATTAAAAGAAGTAAAAACTCCAAGCAAAGATATTAAAGTTAATGAAACAAGGAGTGATTATGATAAAGGGAAAAGAAATGAGGTTGATAATAAAAGGAGTAATGAGTGGGAGAATAAACACCGTGACCAACCTCCAAAGTCAAAGTGGGATAATAAACCTCCAAATAAAAATGAATGGTTGAACAAACCCAAGAAACCAGAATGGGACAACAACAAGTCTTATAATAAAAATGAACGAGAATTCCGAAGTCCCAAATCTGAGCATGAACAAAAACCTTCAAAAAATGAGTGGGAATCAAAACCAACCAAGTTAGAGTGGGAGCCATCCAAAAATGACAAGTATGATTGGGACGCAAAAGCCAAGAATGACTGGGAATCCAAGCCAAAAAATGAGCCCGAAAATAAAACCCCTAATTATTGGTAAGTATATTCACAAGTTTCAAATATAGTTGAGTGGGAATTTTGTAGTTGCTAGAATTTTACATTTGTGTACTAGATATTAGTCTGTATTATTGATGCCTACCATTATCAACATTCTAAAAAAGGAAATGGAGAGATGTAAAATTGCTGATTTTGAGCCTGTTTAAACATATTATAACTGCTCACAAACCTACAGATCAGTATACTGTAAACTGACAGCATCAGTGTTTAATTTACTTAAATCTGTTAAACATTAACAGTTTGGGTTTACTTCAATTTGTTAATCTTATTTTCTTCATTTGAATCTATAATTGATTGTATTTTAGGGAAAAATCGAAAGAAAAGCAAGAGGAACAGAAAAGATTAGAACGGGAAAAAGAAAATGCAAAAGAAGGTAATGAAGATACTAAACCTTCCACGGAAAAAAAGATGGAATCCACAAATCAATCAGGCCGTCCTCCTGTGAAGAGAAAGAAGGATGAAGATTACGGAAGATATAGTGATAAATCTGATCGTTACCGAGATGATGACAGAAATCGCATGGCTGGTCGTGGCAGAGAATTTGTCCGTGGTCGGGGTAGAGGTAGAGCCCGTGGATCACGGGGAAGCTATTCGACCCGAGGACGTGGTGGTAGATCTGATTATCGTGGTTATGATAGACCATATCATTCTAACAGTAGTAGGCAGGATAATGGTGGACGAGGTACTATTGGACGATGGGGTGATCAGGAAGAAGAAAATGAAGAAAATTATGATGCGTCTAAAAGACGACGTGGTAAAGATGAAGATAGTGATGTGTCAGTCGATGACACTAGTGGTTCATTCAGTGAAACTTCTAGTGAAAGGACATCTGAGGCACGAGATAATTCACGTCCGAAAGAAAATAGTGCCAGTAACCGGGACTCAAAGAACACAAAACCCAAGGAGGATTCATCTAGCCAATCTAAAAATCGGGATAAAGATCGTAATTCTAGTCGTAGTAATTACAGTAACAATAGAGAGAGAAGTTCTGGGGATAAACGAGATTCTCGGAATTATGTTGATTCTGATAGGCAAGGATCACAGAGAAATCAAGATTATCAAGATGGTACCAAAAATTACAATGCATTTGTTCCTAGAGGTGAACCTTCCAGAAGAGGTAGAGGTGGTAGTGGTAAGTTACATCAGTTACATCATCTTTTGGCAGTATCTGTTGCAAGTGTAAATTAAAGGTGAATCGGTGATATGGTTCCATTTTGACCTATGGACTAGAATGTCTGTTTGGTCAAATGCAGTTTGTAAGCCCACTCACAAAAAAAGATTCTGGTTCTCAGACAATCCTTTGTAAAGAAAATTGATGCAGTAGGGCAGTTTTTATACACCCACATTAAAATGTGGTCATGCCCCTGCCCCTGCCCCCCCCCCCCCCCCCCTGCCCCTTAGTTGACCGGCAAACAGTTATTTTTGAGAAATAACAAAATCATGCCTCTAATTACTGCCAGAGTTAAGGCTTTTGATCACTCTGAAAAATCTTGTTGACTCTCTAAAGGCTAATGTTAATATCTGATTGACTTTAAATTTATAGCACTGTGTTTAAGATCTTTGGGTCAAGATTTTATATTTATACACCGTGTTTACGCCTATATATAACCGTTTAGTTTAAGGTCTTGAGACGAACAAGCATATTGATTTTTGATGACTTGAACAGCTAAA